AGTTTAATAAGGAATTCTATTTTGTCTTGCATTCTTGATGAAGTGCAAGACAAAAAATATTGAAATTGTGAATCCTCCATTAGACAGAATAATACAAATTTATTCAGCCGTACTGCCAATCCGGTCTGTAGGTTTGCCTGTCTGTGTCTCTGTACTGAGCCCAGTGGCTGTTTTGAAACACGTACAGAAGTGCTAATTAGAAAGCTGTTGAAATAGCGTAGTGGAACTCTCAATGAGACAAAGAGCAACATTATTGAACAGCATGATTGGAAGTAGAGATCATTAAAACATGGAATGTAAAAGGAAATGGGGTGAAACAAACTGGAATTTCATAAAATAAAAAAAGGAGCAGCCTGGTGTGCTCAACTGGTAAATTGTACGGCTAAGACGGGAGGCTGGATTGTTTGTGCTCCTAAAAATAGTCTTTAAATGTCTTGTGATGTGCCAGTGCTGTGAGAAACAAACTTTCAGCTCAATTTAAGTACAGAATAGCAGAGGGCCATGCAATAAAATGGCTTTGGAGAAAGATGGTCACTGAGTGGTGTAATTTAGCCATGTCTCAGTGTCACAAAGTGCACCGCAGTGTCTGACCGTACGCTGTCCAGAGCAGTAACTACTAATGAATAACTTTTACATTTCACAGGATGCGGAGGCAAAGAAAAAGTCCCGTGTTTTTGTTACTTGTCATTTTTCTTCATCACATACACAGGGGTATTTCTAGCTTCAAGTTGGTGTTCCTCTTAATATAAGAGCTCTGCTTTTTTGTCAGAAACACGCCATTAATGCCAGACAAAGACCAAAAAGAGTAGAAGAAAAGCAACAATTGTGAGACAGAGCTTTAAGTGAATAGAAACATGCAAGCACTTAAACAAAGGACAAAGAAGTAGAGCTTTGGGAATCATTTGTTGAAATGATGACATATTTAGGTGGCTTTCCTGTTGAATTCCATGTTTATCTTGTTATTTAATTGCTTGTAACCGGTGTTGTAATGATATGCTTGTGTGTTGGCATTGTAATGCAAGAAAAAACAAAAAAAAATCTTTGTTTACCAGCTCGTTTTTGACTATAATTGAGTCCCTTGAAAGCATGATGCAGTCTTCATTTCCTGACAGCTGACGAAATATGCCGATGTGTATTTTTCCACTGCGTTTTCTAAAATACAATTTTATTTTTGTCAATTCTAATGAAGCAAACTCTCTTAATATGCTTAAGAAAAGGATATTTTTAAATTTCACAGTACAAACAGAAATAATCAAACAAGTTTAATTTGTTTAATTATTTAATTTCAGGTAGATTTTTTTACCCTTCAGTGTACTTTCAGAATAATGCTGCCAATACCCTGAAACCACTTCTGTCTTAAGCAAGACAGCTGAATCACCAAAAGTCCAAAGCAAAATACCTCTTTGTATATAGATTTTTATATCTCTCTTTGGCTCTTTCCCCCCTCTCTGTGATTATAGCTCGCTCTGCACTGATTTTAAGGGTGAGTGAGCTGACCCTCTGTGTGGGCTGCCTTGCATGGCCTTCGCTGATATAAAACATGGCTGTTCTGTGTGCACGAGTGGGCTGTTAGAAGGGTAGAAAGAAAGAAGACTGTACACATTAGAAAGCCTAATCACCTCCGTCGTTGTTTGACTGAACATTGATGCGATAAATGAAAGTGGAAATGTTTTCTATGAAGTGTCTGTCCACCTGACCTCCCACAAATGCCAAAGCTACATTCGCTCTAGTGCGAGTATTGTATTAAAGAGAGCTCCAGTGTTATAATTATGCAAAGGTGATTTCTTTGTTTTCTGTCTTTCAATGGAAGCACAAAAACTAACCAGCATTAAATGACAGGAAAGGAGAGCACGGCGTATAGGCAGCATTAGCAAAATAAAGAGCTGCTGTGTCCTTACAAATGCTTATCAATTCATGAAAGACTGTTGCCACTTTTGTGTTGTTGTTCATGCTCAAGCCCTTCTAAAAACCAGCTTGTATTGTTGACTATGCGTTTGAATAAAACTGGGTAGGAACATAAAAAGTAGAGGGAGAGAATACCTCCACGTTTATGTAGTGCCTCAGTATTGCTGCTCTTGGACAGGTATGATAGTGACTAAATCCACAAGGGTGCTTGTTGCATATCTTTAAAAGAAAAAATCAGTAAACTCTATCAGGAAGGCTAACAGAGTCAGCCGTGGACAGCAGAGGCTGTAACGTATTGTGTTATGATCTTTTTTTCTCTTTTACTTACCTTTATTACATCCTAGCACTAAAAAGACAAATAACACATTTTGCTGGAGAGTGGAATCTGCTTTTGTACTTTAGTATTAGTTTGTGCCCCTTGTGTAGTTGGATAGAGTGCTGATCTTTGTATTAGCCCAACACCAGATAGAATCATTTCTTTTTTAAGAATACACTCCCAAAAATAATAATAATAATAATAAACTTTATTTATAAAGCACACTTAAAAACCAAGGGTATTCCAAGGCGCTTAACAAGTAACATAGAGAATAAAAGGAAGATAATAGAAATAGGATGAAAGCAACTACTAGGTATTCAAGCAGGTAGCTGTCACTGATACATAGGAAAGCAACAGGTACAGAGCAAAGAAGAAATTAAATGAGCATAAAAGTGCATGATATAAAATCATGAAAGAAATATTAACTAGAAGGAAAGGCAAGATTGAATAAGTGGGTTTTTAGTCATGATTTGAACAGTGCAATGGAATCAGATGCGCGGATGTCGAGAGGAAGGTTATTCCACAGTACCGGGGCAGCCAGAGCAAACGCACGGTCACCCCGGGACTTCAGCTGAGATCTAGGTTGGGTCAGAAGTAGTTGAGTGGCAGATCTAAGTGTTCTAGCAGGAGCATGTGGTTTGAGAAGTTCACTAAGATAACTCGGCGCTGATTTAATAATAGTTTTGAATGTAGGAGTAATATTTTAAATTGAATATGGTACTTTATGGGAAGTCAATGCAAGCTAGCTAGAACAGGAGTAATAGGGCAAAATTTCCTGGTACCAGTAAAGAGGCGGGCTGCTGCATTTTGGACTGTTTGCAGTCTAAGAAGAAGAGAAGAGGGAAGACCGTAGTACAAGGAGTTACAATAATCCAACCTGGAGGTCACAAAAGCGTGAATAAGCTTCTCCAGGTCCTTATGCGGAACATAATGCCCAGCCTTAGAGATAAGGCGCAGTTGGGGGAAGCTAGATATCACTACAGCAGACACTTGCTTATCGAGTTTTGAGCGAGCTATCCAGCACTACACCCAAGTTACTGACATAGTAACAGGAAGAGCTAGCAAAGGAACCCAGAGCAGCACAGAGTTGGGCACGAGGGATTTTACTGTTAAAAACCACAATCTCAGTCTTCTTATCATTTAAAACAAGAGAATTACTCAGGAACCATTCTTTGACCTCCCGCATGCATTCTTGAAAGTAGTATAGGGACACAGCAAGGTCATCAGTAAGTTCAAAATAGATCTGTATGTCATCAGCGTAACAGTGGAAGGCGATATTGTATTCTTCAAAGATTGCGCCTAGAGGGAGCAAATACAATGAGAAGAGAATAGGGCCTAAAACTGGTCCTTGAGGCACACCACAACAGACCGGAGCGGAGGAAGAGGAGAAGGTGCCCAAGTTAACTGAGAAGGATCTATCAGCGAGATATGATTTAAACCAGTCGAGGGCAGTGCCTCTAATACCCACAATGTGCTCAAGTCTTAATAATAAAATGTTATGGTCTACCATATCAAAGGCTGAAGAGAGGTCCAGTAAAACTAGGACCATAGAGCATCTAGTATCAGTGATTACAAGAATATCATTAAGAACTCTAACCAACGCTGTTTCAGTGCTATGCAATGGCTTAACAGCAGATTGAAATTTCTCAGCAATATTGTTTGTGTCCAAGTACGCCTGGAGCTGGGAGAGAACTAGTCTCTCCAGGATCTTGGACAAGAACGAAAGCTTAGATATCGGTCTGTAGTTTGAAAGGTCATAACAGTCAGAGTTTCTTTTTTTAAGAATCGGGTGGACTACAGCATGCTTAAAAGTCAAAGGAACACAGCCTGAGAGCAAGGAAAAGTTCATAAGAAATAGGATACTGGGTCTGATTACATCAAAACAGTCCTTAGCTATGCGAGATGGAAGAATGTCAAGCACAGTATTAGTATTATTCATTTGAACAACACAAAAAACAACAATTACCTGTTTAAAAAAACAAATCAGTGCAAATATGGAAACTTCCCATCAAAGACATTTTTGCAGAGAAGTTTGTTCGATTGAAAAGTGAGTTTCAAGTAATCATGCTGACATTATCAGGGTTTTTTAAAGGGTGTAAGTGCTGTCTGAGCTCTTAGTTATTTTGAAAATTTGCGTTATTTTTAGTTGTTTTGTACCATTATCCCCACAACTTTGTTCAAAGCTTTGCTTTTGCTTTCTTGTGCAGCATCCATTCTTTCAGTTTCACCAGAAAAGCACAACATTAAATGAAAAAAGCTTTACTTCTGCTTATGCAAAGAATAAATCTTCATCTGTGGAGTAAAGGAGATTTTTTTAATGGGGTTTCAGTTTATTTCAGTTGTTGGTATAACTAAGTTGTGTTAACATTGAGCCCTGTATCAATTATGACATTAGACTATATAATTATATATGACAAAAATTTACCTTTATCTGAGTCAATAGCTGTTACTAGACTAGAGTAGAGAAAGATGATGAGCATCTGTCACATGCTAATAATGCAAAGGTTTCTCTCACAGTTTGTGTATTGGAATGTAATAGCTTACTTTTCCATTTAAGATAGAACCTTTTTTCCCTTGTATATTCACTGCTTAAGTCTTTCATTGTGTTTGCATTTATTCTGATATTTTTCCAAAACAGTTTTTTAAGATCATTGTGGTTTACTGATACTACTTTGATTATTGTATAATCAAGAGTTTTGTAGTTTTTTTTCTCTATTCTTTTTACATTAATGACTTCTACCATTCTGTTTGACCAAATTGTCCCTTACTTTTTTTATAGGAAGTCCATGAAATTCTGAAAGAATATGAACTGAAGTACTGCTTTGTGGACCGCAACAAAGGAACAGGTAAAACTCAACTCTAACCTGACATACACACAAAGTCACACTTGTGTACTTGTGCTATTGAAGATCCTAACCACCTTAGGCTACGTTCACACTGCAGGCGAAAGCGCATCAAATCCGATTTTTTTACCCTATGCGACCCATATCCGATCATGGTATGACAGTGTGAACGGCACAAATCCGATATTTTCAAATCCGATCTGGGTCACTTTCGTATGTGGTACTGAATCCGATACATATCCGATGTTTTAGAAAGCGACTGCTGTTTGAACGGTCATGTCGCATTAAATCCGTCCTTTACGTCACTGACACAAGACAGATGCCAATTATCAGCGCCCGATAAGACATCGCGAACGCTTCCTGGCCATCCAGTGTAGATGTCAGTGAAACTGTTAGGAAGACAACGTAAACATTTTATTTGTACTGTATAATCTGCAGATTCTGACAGAAATCTGCAACTATCCTTTGAAGCACCGCTCCCCTCTAAAACAATAAGCAATAAGAGTAATTATTAGTTTATCTACATTATTATGTAAATAACAAAATAACTTAAAGCAAAAATTGGGAAACGTGAAGTCCAAAGTCTTTATATTAAGGGCCATCAGTCAAACAATACTGTTTGCTCTGGGTTCAAACAGAGCGCCTTGTGTGTGACGTCTTCTTTTGTGCATGCGGGCCGCTTTGAGCGTTCACACTAGAGCACGTTTGCTGTCGCATTTTAGTTTTAGTGTGAACACGCAGACAAAAAAAATCAAATTTGATCAAAAAATCGGAATTGAGCATCAAGACCTGCAGTGTGAACGTAGCCTTAGTTATCCCCTAATAATAACCACCCCAACTCAATGCTTAACTCTAACCTGTCCCTTAACTGCTATTTCAGGATGTAATGGGCGATGAAATTGTCCTGTGGCTGAAATTGTAAATGTTCATGTAAATGTACATGTACCCTAAACACACAGCTATCCCATATCTGTCACGGGTAATTTGTATTTATAGTTAGAATACACAACAGATGTGAGTACACCCCAGTGCATTATCACCAAAATATCAAATTTTGAAACTTGTATCACCTGTCACAGTGTAACTTTAACGCTTGCAAGTTCATTTCCAGAGTGTGTATTCTTGTGTAAAATGAAAAATTTATAGTTTAGATATACTTTTAAAAAATGACATGATCTCATTTCATCTGTCAATAAGATTTGAATATATAATTTGTTTCAACATCTCACGTCCTTTATTCTGTTGACTGAGTCAGTATTTTTTTTTCTGGAGAGATCTCGCTACTTTTCAGAGATCTTGGATGTGTGTTGCTCTTGGTTTCACATAAAAATACCTCAAAGGTGTTTGATTGGATTCAAGCCAGGCGAGATATTTTTCCAGGTCAGAGTTCTTACCTTCAGTCTTCTCTTACTGTGTCAGTGTGTTTTGAATCGTTATCTTGCTGGAACATTCTTCTTCTGCCAGAATTGTGGAGACTGGAAACCATCTTGTCAGATAGTATTTTGGTATATCCACAGACATTCACGCCGCCATCTATAAATGTCATCTATCCAACACCTTTTGCACTCAAGCAGCCCATGTCATTGCAAACCTACCGCTGTGCCTCACTATTGTGACTGTTTTTCACTATTGTAGTCCTGACCAAATTTATGCCAAAAATCCTGGACAAGTGTATCTTGGTCTCAGTGTGCTCCCAGTGTATTCTCAGTACCCATCAGGCTTCTTTTTATTTCTTAGAAAACATTAATCCTTTGGTTTTGTGCCAGAGAACCTGGGTTTCTTTCTTGAATGCCATCCCTAGTGTCTGGCTTTATTCACGGTCCATGGAACTGTCACAAAAAGTTCACTGATATCCGCTGATAACCTACATGTGAAGTCTACAGCGCTCGCCATCTGTATTCCACAACTAGATTGTACATTACAGTATTTATAGCATCATGATAGGACGACGTCAATGCAGCAGCCCTGTTTAGTTGTACTTTGAGTTATTCCCTGACTATTGATTGTTAAACAATCATTTGTCTGGAAAGCCTTTTCCATATGAGCCGTGGAGTTTGCACATTCTCCTTGTGCCTTGCATGGATTCTCCCCAGTTAGTTTCTGCTTCTTCCTACACTTCAAACAAATGCTTGTTAGATTGATCTGTGATTATAAACTGGCCATAGGTGTGAATGGGAGCATCAGTGATTGTGTCTCTCTGTGTTAGCCCTGTGATAGCTCTGGCAACCTGTCCAGGGTGTACCCCAGTGAGAGCTGTGATAGGCACCAACCCTCCCTGCAGTCAAGAACATTCATGGATATCTGATTTCAGCAACTGAACTAACTAGTTCTGTTTCACAGGTTTACGTGTGTGTGTGGGTGTAGGGGTGTGTGCGTGTGTTAAACTTGAAAACAAGCTTGGGGATTGTCCATAGATTAGTTGCTATTACTATCATTCAGTTAATGATTTGGGGTTTTTATGTTCAAAACTGTTATTTTACCAAGTATTAACTGATTAAACCTCAACCACTACATGTCTAACTTAACCAAAGTATTATATATTTCTTGCATATGTTAGCAGTTTCTATCACAATTCAAATTCCTCCTGCTGTTTTAAAGCTGAGCTTCTTGTAATGACAATTTTCCACATTAAGTCCTCATAAGTCAGGAAATATGAGAGGACCTTCAAATACACACACACACACACACACACACACACACACACACACACACACACACACACACACACACACACACACACACACACACACAGACGACCCTCTGCCCTTAGAGTGTGTCCCTTTCCAGGGAAATCTTCCATAGTGGCTATATTTAGTCGCAGCAGTCAGCCAAGCACCTGAAACAAAACACTTTTGGAAAGTCGAGCGGAGCTGTAAACAGCTGAGATATCAAAGCACCAGCCTGTCCAAAAGGTTAATGGTGTTTCAGAGCAAATGAGAGCCTGACGAAACACAGGCTCTCATCGGACCAGCGGCCACTGCACTGTACTAATTAGGCCGCTGCGGTAGTGTTAGGCACTGATGAGGTGGGAGGAGCGGAATAAGAATTAAGCATCAGAGGCTGTTTTAGGTAAAGTTTAAGTTTTCTTAAAAAAACACAGTGATGTTACCAGTGGCAACCATGTCCTTCCTCCCCCCCCCCATTTTCTTTCTTTCTCTCTCTGCCATTCCTTCTGTCACACTGCCGCCTGCCATTCTCATGGTCTGTGTTTTCCATTAACCCAACACTTTCACCCTTCCTCCTTTTTCTCTTCTCCGTCGCTTTCTCCTTCACTGAAGCACCACTCAGTTTTATTTCAAGAGCTTACTGCAGTAATTTCACAACATAATGTGGGAACTTTTCGTTGTATCAATATTGCATTAGCTGATTGAATTAAGAAGGAGAATATTTTCAGGAGCATTAACACACAGCCTCACAGAGCTATGCTGAGGGCCCCAGGTGAAAGTAAGGTTGCAAGCTTTGTTTTTTCCTCAACATCTTTTCCCAGGTAATATTGTCATCAATTTTTATTAAGCACTCAACAGTGCTACATTGCAGAAAAGGTGTGGCAGGTGAGGAGGTTGCTCCAAGGAAGGAGCAAGGAGTTTTCCTCAAGACATTATTTTTCCTGCGTTAGCTTTGTTTTAGCTTGAAGCTGGTCAAAAAAGTGTGGTTTGCTTTTTTTAATTTGTCAGAGAAGCGGGATTTCTGTAGTGACTGAGTGAACGTGTGGTGAAATTCACATTGTGATACATTTAGATATTAGTATGTGAGAACAAAGGCTCGCTGTATTTCCATTGCTGTTTCTAATGTTTTTCAAATTTGAGCCTTTTCTCCCTAAACTTTAAAGAAAAAAATGGCACATATGAAGCACCTAATAGTATATCACATGTCATTTTTAGCTCATTGGCCAAAGGAGTCTGAGCTACTATGTCACTGATGTTCTTGTACATCATATTTGGATAGGTCAGTTTGTGATGTGGGTCAGAGCAGCAGTCTCCTTGAAAGTTCAATCTTTGCATTTCTGACACTGCCTGAATTTTTCCAGCCGGTTCTTTTCTATGTACCAGGGATCTTTAGTGGACGTCCCACTGTGGGGTTGTCTGTTCAGTGAAACACAAAAACGGTAGCGTAAGTTTGTTAGTGGAAGAAGGTTTGTAGTGTGACCTATCGGTTGTATATTAATATTCCCATTCATGAGCGGTTTCATTTGTATTTCTGTTTAAATGTGCTCTATCTTTCGTGTAGGTTTTATCTTCTAAGCTATTCTGTGTTGTCATATTTATGTCATTGAGCATTTATGCTTTGTTTTTTGAAGAGGCACCCGGACTCGTTAACTACGAAGCCGTGCTGTTGTAATAGATGCCGTATGCAGTTTAGCATTTTCTTGCTGAAATATGCATCGTGCATTACTGTTTAGCACCTATGGTCCCTTTCCACATGTGCAAGCTGGCGCTCCCTTAGGAACGTATCCACTTACTGACCATCAGAGATGCAGGCTTTTGAACTGAGCGCTGATAACAGGCTGGACGGTCTCTCTCCTCTTTAGTTCAGATGATGGGTTATTAATGTTTTCCATTTGGATTCATATGTCCACAGAACAGTTTTCCACTTTAAATGAGGTTTGGCCCATTTTGGTGACGTTTCTGAATCATGTTCACATATGGCTTGTTCTGTGAATAATCTGCTTTAACCTGCATGACAGAAGCATGTCTGTTTTTAATTCAGCGTACACAAAGATTTCTCTTTTTGCAGAACATTATTTGGACATTTTTCCATGATTTGTAGATGCTAATTTAAGATGAAGCCCAGCCAGTCTACCTCTCTAAGATGCTCTTTACATGTTACTGAAGTGTTGTCACTTTACCTAATTAGTTGCAAAATGTTCTTCCAGCTGTTTCCTTTTAGTACTATTTACTTTTCCAACCTTTTGTTGCCCCTGTTCAAATCTTTTTGACACGTGCCGTATACTGCCGTGATATTAAAAATGAGTCGTGAAATAGTCAGATGTCTTAATTTAAACA